ATAAAACAATGAAAATGAATAAGTAAATACATAATACTATGACATAATTTGTAAATATCAGTTTGTATTATACAATTTACTGTAGTGTGACATAATTCAATGATATGACTTCAAAAGTGTATACGCTAGAACGTATCTAAATAACAGCGCTATAAACACATGTGTCTAAGTTGTTTGGTTACAAATTATGAATACGCACTGATATATTTATGTTCAGTACAAACCTATTCTAGAATTCGCACTAAGACATGCATACTCATTAATTCGTAAATGCTAATTCATTCGTGACAGCATAGTATCACAACATATTTGCGAACCACGCTAAAAGGGAGAATTTTACATGCGTGACACGAAAAAGTCACAAAGTTATACATACGTACCAACTTTTTCCAATTTATATATATAGTATGCATCATTATTCCGGTATGCGGACTAGGGTTATATAAACACACATATTCATATGTGTTCATTAAATCACTATTCCTTGTATGCACTAATGTACTTGATTATTTAGTAACGCGCACTTTAGCGGCATAAAGCCACACTAAATTATGAATATGAATCAATTCATTTATATATATAATATGAAAACTTATTCAAGCTAATAAAAACACCATTGAATCCAAATTAACAATCATATTTAGAAACAAGCGTTAGGATTTACGCACGACTGACTGTACGGAAAACTCTTAGGAATTGAAAACGCCAGTACTGAAATAAATACAATCAGGAAAAAACCCACCAAAACCCCCCACCAAAAACAAAAACAACAAGATAACAATGTCAACAAAATCAGTTCTGAGTAAACTACATCGTACATAGAATTCATATGGTATTTACAGTGCTTAAAATTCAGATCAAATGAATTAACAATTTGTAGATTTGTTTTTTGTTTTGTAGTAATTAGAAAAAGGAGTCTGTTTGACCAGGACCTCCCTCCTCCGAGTGGGGGACATAGGGCGCAATATCGTCGTAAGACTTGACAAATACCTTCGCCGACTCCATCGTGACTTTGAAAAAGATGCGACCGTCGTTCGTCCAGTATGAAGCAATGCTTTTGGCTTTACGCGCACGGGAAAGTTCACTGATGAGTTTCTGTCTCTGATATAAGATATATAAATGAGATATTTTGTAGTCAGTGATATCATGATATGTTTTGTGCATGAAACTCTGAACAAGACGCGAAACGAGCAAATTATTCCAAATTGTTCTGGGTACATAGGATTTTTTTTATTGATTTTTTATTACATTTCCTGCATAACGCTTTACAATTACACAAAACAGTAATTATGACGAAATCACACACTGTAAAACAAGCGTCTCAACGACACTGAGTTGAAACGAACACAACAAAACGTTTTAAACATTAACGTTAGTATTATTTAATAAAAAAAAAACACAATCAGCTTTTCTTGGTCCCACGTACTTTAATGCCTGTTATCCCTCGAATGAGATCGGCAGCTTTTTCTGCAATCATGAACGTAGGCGCCATCGTGTTACCGGACGTGAGATTTGGCATGACGGAACAATCAGCTACCCTCAAACCGGAAATGCCCTTCACTCTGTAAAAAAGGAAACAGATGTTTCGTTAGATTATTACAGAAACTTATATTTCATTAAATAACGGAAAAGTATAAATCCCAGTAACGTAACTATCCAGATTGTTTTTACTGTGTATCAGTATTTTCTACAGTACATAAATAATAATAATAATTCGAGGTTCTTATATACCGATTTATCACAACCTAGTTCGTAGGTCGTCTCAAAGCGGTTCACAAATTATTATCCGTGGTTAAAGGGCCATTGCAACCAGCCAATATCTTTCTCAACATACAGCCGGTGCTGCCATTTCGGCGCTCCCAGCTAGCATTTAACAATTCTAGCACTGCCCAACTACGTACTCATTCACAGCTGAGTAGACTGTAACAAGCGGAGTAAAGTATCTTGCTCAAGGATACAACACAGTGCCGTGCCGTGACTAAAACCCTTAACCCTTCGGTCACGAGCCCGGCGTCCTACCACTAGACTTTCGTGCCTCCATATATCTGGTCCTTAGCCTAGCATTTGATAGGACATATTTTTATCGGAACAATGACAGAGATAAATAAATCATCCTTCCATCTGTTTATAGAAATTATGTAGAAATGTTCCGGTATAAATTTAACATTAATTGAAGTGCCCACCAAACCTGGTGCGGTGTTTTTTTCAAGGACACCCTATGGAGGACGTTCTGACTTTCTCCGCTTTAAAAAAAAATATTTTTTTTTATTAAAAATCACCTAACGCGTCATATATCATGGGGTTTCCCCGAAACAAAATCTCAATTTAATTTTCTTAATCGGCTATGCCAAAAAAATAAAAAAGGAAATTAACCCGTCCACGAATCATGTTTACACATAATTTCATCAATTTAAATTCTCACCTTAGTTGTGGGTCAACTACAGCCGTAGGATCGGAGAGAGCTCCCATTTTACAAGTAGAGGCTGGATGGTATATCGTTGTCGCTAGATGGCGCACAAAACACTCCCACTGTTCGTCAGAATCAGGAGTCTTCTCTCTACATCCGGGTATGTCAATTTCACGAAATTTTGTTCCTAGATTCTTCAAGGCATCAGTTTTCATCATCTTTTGAGCGTAGCGAATACCTATATGAATAAACATATACCGCTATAGATATTTCAAAGATTGTAATACTTAAAGTGATCGTACTTTCTTGGCTGCAAGCGAAAGGACTTGTTCCCAACTCCCATTGTACATAAATTATAATAAAGTATGTTTAAATCAAAAAGCGAAAAGACTGGATTATCTACCGTAGTTTTTGTTTCTGCCCGCCAGGCTTCGCCTCGATTGGAAGGCCGGGTGGCGCAGTGGATAGCGCACTCGCCTTTCACCAAGGCGGCCAGGGTTCGATTCCCCGATCGGACGTGAAAAAGTATGGGGTCACTTACCCGACCGCGTGGGTTTTCTCCGGTTTGCTCCCACATAAAGAACCCCTAGCGCGCCAACACCCGGCCCAACAAGAGTGATTAATTTAAGTTGTAAAAACTTGTTTCATAATTGTTATAAAGTTCATAATGTATATCGCCTCGAAAATACAGTATCACCATAACGGAGAGAAAAAAATACTAAGGCAGCCAACCAGTCTATACTGAGTACTGCATCCGCAACATCTTGGGCTTTTCTTCTTGAAAAAACCCCCACAAAGAAAGACCCAGAGTGTTCCGAATGCTTTATATTGTTGTAATGTACTTTTTAACGTATTTGACGTATACTTTCGTATGGTTTTGATTTTTGACATACTGTGTCAGTTACCAAATTGTATAGGCACAATTACACGTGTGTGTCTAACGTTCATCTTTCCCTCTATATAATCCGCAATAAAGCACTTTGGTTACTCTTGCTTGACTTGACTTGGTATGATATTAATAAGGTCAGCAGGTTAAAGTCAAAGGTCACCAAACCATAGGTTACCAGGTCAAGGCAAAAGGTCACCAGATTATGTAGGACCAACAATCCTCAAGTCGCCGCTAAAGTTCCTAAATTCATGGCCGTAAACCACCATGCCATCGTTATAGGTCCTCAAGTCATCGCCAAAAGTCCTCAAGTTACGGCAAAAGGTCCTCAAGTCATTGCCATAAGTCCTCAAGTTACGGCAAAAGGTCCTCAGGTAATTGACAAAAGTTCCAAGTTACGGCAAAAGGTCCTCAAGTCATTGCCAAAAGTCCTGAAGTCATGCAAAAAGTCCTCAAGTCATCGTCAGTTCTGCTGTCGTGATCAAAAGTCCTCAAGTAAGGGTCAAATGTCACTAGGTCATGGCGAAGGGTCGTCAAGTAACAGACCAAGATTGTCATATCATCGAGAAATGACCCAAAGTCAAAACAAAGCTCCTTAATACGTGGACATACATCATCAAATCACGGTAAAAAAATCTCTTAAAGGTCATGGTCATAGATCGCAACATCACTGCGTCGTCACAAGGCCCTAGAAAAATTATCGCAGTCTTAATTCCAAACTAAAATGTCAAGACTGTTTTTCTCCAGGAAATCAGTCAAGATGCGACGAAAAAAAAACTAGATTTACTGCATGGATTGTGCTTACTTGGTACAAAACTGCCAGTCTGTCTGCGGGCGTTGATGTGTGTGCACGGAAGTTCGTATGTAAACACCAAACCAATAATTTGACTCTAGGGTGCCAAGGTTGGCCCTACTAACCCCTGATAAAGGTTTTGATGTCCTCAGCGTCCGACAAGTAGTTAGGATCCAGCAGTGGGTAGTCGAAGGGGTCGCGACTGACCAGGCGTAGAGATCCCTTGCTTTTAGGTTGAATCAGAACCACGTCAATAGAATACCCTTCCGGCATCACCTCTGTCCCGTGGATGGACCGGAACAACGCTTCGTTGATCTAGAAAGGATTTTTAAATTTAACTTATATTTCGCACCTACTTCACGTGTTATTTACATAATGAGTCCATATACTATATAGTGTTTTGTAATGCCTGATGAAATTACACTACCATTATACTTTTGGACATGTCTAGACATACAGAGCATACTTCTCGGATCCCCGTGACTGCATTAGGAAATACGCTATTTCATTGTGTGACATGAAGGATTTTCTTCCGGGTTCCAACTTTGAGGACGTTACATTAGCTATAGTTGACCTAGCTTTGACCTACAATTGTATTGAGAGAGTCGTCAAAGAAGCATAAGACGCTTACCCTTCCGCAACATCTGATCTTAATCTCCTTGTTCTATTTCCATGAAAATCTTCATATTTTGCACTAGATTTATTGGATTTAAGTTCAAATTATTGTCTTACTTACATTTCGGTGTTTTCTTTTTTTGTTTGAACTATTTTCCATTTTCTTACATTTGGCTCTGTATAACATTGCTATGTTGATAAGCCGATAGTACGTGATCAAAACGGAACATACCAAAGTCCTTCAAAATAGAATTTATTATTCCCTGCTTAAAGGGACATCACGTGAAAAGGCGTTTTTTTTTAATGAATGTATGTATTGTATGCACTTCCACTTATGTTACCTCGCTATCCCCATATTCATAGTCCGTTCCAAATGTCCAGTTTGACCACTTGAATTGTTCGGGAAAGCCCGGCTAAAAATAGCGCCGATAACGTCACCTGATTAGGCAGCAAACACAAGTGGTGCGAGCGAGATGAAACGGTTTACAAAGGGGCCCTCAGAGAGGGGCCGTCAGGCAACTGCAACTTCTTACCGCACTATGAAACCAAGTTATATGATTTCTAATTCCGTATTCAAACTTATTGAACAGTAATTATTCATCATCAGAAGTTAATTGCACACTTGCCAATATTAAGAATTTAAATTTATTTAGCTTTTAACATAAATTTGTTGCCAATAAAATTAAACAAAGGATGGGGCACAAGTTTTTACAATTTATCACAGCCTTCTCCCGTGACCGGTACAGGTGGTACGGGGCTAAACACTCCCTCAACAATGGGACAAACCTTTCTGTAAAAAGGAATATTCACGAGACGAATATCCCTTTTCAAATGTTTACATAAAGTGCATATATGCAATGACAAACTACACGCGAATATAAAAAGGAAACGTTTGTGAATTTATTTATTACATTAAACAACTCAATGTCTTTGGCCATTTTTTTTCTAGACCATGAATATAAATCTATGTATACTCTCTTTCCCACTTTCACTGTCTCCAAACGCTAACATTTAGGAAGTCATATTAACCATCACACACAATAAACTGTATGGCAAAACCACTACGTGTACATGTAGAATATGTGTCAATAAGGAACGTGTTGAGATACTTGATAATTATATTTTTTCAATACTTTACAGAGATTAAAGCATACTTTTAAATGGACCTTTTTATGCTGAGACAACTTTTCTTTAATCAGTTCCTTTGGTCCGAAACAGAAGCCGTAGTTATCGGCAGCACGCGCCATTTTTATAACGTAATCAAATATTTTTTCCCCTGTTTTCAATACGTATTCCGATTCTATCTGAAGTCGAAAATTTATTCTTTATAGAGAAAAGGTTGTTACATGATCATACATTCTAAGTCAACATCATATGAAAACATGAACTGTTGAAAAATTACGATTTAAAAAAAAAGTGTTATGCGATCCTATTTACTAGAAGTAGGTTCTCCTTCCTCAGTTATTCATCCTGGTCCGTCATTTTGACATTTTTAATCTAGCTGCGATAACGTAGCTTTCTGACGAAGAGCGATTTTTTTTTTATATATTGCGTCGTCGCGCCAGGGCAGGCCGGGTATTATATTAGTACTAATTTAAAACTTGCATGTCAAAACAAAAAACAATCGTTTAATTCAGCAATATAATTAAATCATACCATTTTACTGATCCCGGTAATATTATAAATTATGTAAATCTAATAGCGCACGTATCTCATTTGACCCCGAGCACCGACAGAGGATCAGAGAACAGAATACGCCGTGGCCATCACAGCAGTTATCCCTTGGGGGGCCTCATGGCAAAATCAAACTAACCAGTCACTTATCCCTTTCGTTTGCATAAACCACTGTATAATTATAAAAAACACAAAGTAAACTCTCTCCGATACATGCCCATTAACATATTAAACTAAGTTCATCTGTGTTCAAACTCACACAATGATACTAGCGAGGTTAATAGTTTTAGATATTTATTCATAACATAAACAGCGCTAGCATTTCTGTCGATTTTATTTCAGCTTAACCGGCCGCTATCCGGAAGAAAACATGCACCGTACTGACTGCTAGGGCAGTTATTTTCTGCTTTGAATACTTCCCACTGGCAATAATGATTCCGTAACGTACCCCTTGCGCTATCTTTTGACCATTTGGCAACTATTCGCTTCGTAGCTGACACGGTACAACACTTTTCTTTGGCTTACTTCACACGGCCAGTCATTTTGTTTACAAAGAAATGGTGTGCTATGCGCATGCGCTAGTAGAGGGAAATCCCTGAACAAAACGTTGGTCAGACAGGTAGAAATACCGATGATTATCTTAGATTTAATCATTTTTATTAATCTTTTTCAGCCAAATCCGATCGCATTTTCCATAAGGAGTCTCACTTGATATGTTTATGTAGTATTTGGAAAAAAGACAAAAAAAAAAAGTTACTTCAGCGTGATGCCCCTTTAACGTTCAGCATTTAGGGTAATGGCAACAACTGGTTCACCCATTGTCAGTATAATGTAAATGGGTGGAATGCTGTGCTGGGTGCCTTCGGCATCGTATTTCAGTGAGATAGCACTATAAAGTCGGCATCAGATCCGCGCTATCACAAATATGCAATGTAACCAACATACTCTATCTCTAGCGCCACATACACACAAGCACGCATACAAAACACGCATGGAGGCACGTCCATAAATGACCTAAGCTGTTAATAGGACGTTAAACGAATTAAAACCAAACCAAACGTGATTACAGCCGGGCCAATACAAGTGATTAATTTAGGTTGTTTCATATTTGTTGTGAAATAAATAAAGTTTATATTCAAACGTGATCAAAAAGAAATTATGGGGAGGTAACTGTATGTTATAATCTACCAGTGTTAACTACAGTGAAATTCTCTGGCATTTTGCATGAAGTGGGACAGTGATCATAAATACTTGATCAACTTTTCAAAAATACCCTTACCTCGTCCTTGTAGTTGAAATGATCAAAGGAATCTCCATGCTCCTCCAAAGTGCTGAATAACGTCAGCTGAATATCAGGGGATTTTGCCTGGCTATCGGGATCAGTCCGAACAAAAGCCTGGCTCTCGATAGCCGCATTGCTTGTCAACAAACCTAGGTACACACGTAAACAAACAAAATTAACTTATTTAAACGTTTATTGGTTTTGTTTGTTTGTATTTTACAGAAGTGTATTTCTTGCCAAAAAATGTGAATATAAACTTTCTTAAAGCTTCTTAAAAAAGGGGGGAAAACTTTCTTAAGGCTCCATAAGGTATTTCAATGTGTAGATTATTTAATGGAATTCATATGTTTGTTTACCACTTCTTCCATAATATCAACTAGAATGTTTTTTATTTATGTTTTTTCTGCTTTGTAATTTCTAGGATTCATTACGATTAAATTGGATAAGAAATTCTTCAACCAAACAACATATTTCGTTTGGAGATTATGATTCATTGTGACGTCAGAGCAATGTACATGTACCTCTCGACGTTTATTTTTTATTCGGTAAAAAATACTGCTGTGCTATTGCTTCATTGAGCACAGTAACGGAACCCCCAGATCCCATTTATAAATAATATTAATAATAATAATAATTCGAGGTTCTTATATACCGCTTTATCACAACCTAGTTGGTTGGTCGTCTCAAAGTGTTTAACAAATTATTATCCGTGGCTATAGGGCCTTTACCACCAGCCAATATCTTTCTCATCTCCCTTGGGAGCGTACAGCCGGTGCTGACATTTCAGCGCTTGCAGCTAGCATTCCACAAGTCCAAAACTTCCCAACCACGTACTCATTTACAGCTGATTAGACTGGAACAAGCGGAGTAACGTATCTTGTTCAAGGATTCAACCCAGTGCCATGACGTGATTTGAACCCGCAACCCTTCGGTCACGAGCCAGGCGTCCTACCACTAGACTACCGTGCTTCCTAAAGTGTCAATTATTATATAAACTGTGATCACAAAAATATTATAACTGTATATTATGAACAAGAATGTGAAGATCCGAACAACGATAAATAATACGGCGTTACCTGGCTTATTGTTTTCTATCGACAAGGTTAAGGTTACGTTTGTCAGTGATAACTTGGTTGGATGGGATGCACTTTCCAGTTTGCACTTGGATATATAAGATGACAGCTGTCACAACAAGAGGAGAAATGGGGACTTGACGCCGACACGAATTCAGATCGAAAATGCCCAAGCCAATGAGAGGCCATGGTGACCATCTTGAACTTTCGGATCAGCGCTAGAAATAACAACACCTATTGGGAACTTCATAAAAAAATCTTTTGTACCGAATTTGGAGCTGATCGGTGATTCTGCTCTGGGGAAGAAGTCAAAAATGTCTCAGTCAATCACAGGCTGGGTGACTATCTTGGATTTCAAATCTTGGGGACCTTTGTACCAAGCCGCGAGCCAATCAGTGCAGTCGTTCCTGAGAAGCAGCCGAACATGTTTCAACCAATCAGAGGATAGGACAGCCATCTTGAATTTTCGGATTGACACGAAAAATAAGAACACTTAGATGGGACATCATAATGAACATATGTTCAAAGTTTGGTGTCAATCATTTCAGTGTTCTGAAGAAGAAGTTTAGAACAACCAGCGAAGTTTAATTGATTATCTAATGTCGTGCAGGTAGGGCGTTCAACCTAGAAAAGCGCTCTGAATGGTTCTTAATACAGTGCGAACGTACCTGTTCCAAAAAAGTAGTACTTAAGCCAGTTTAGAGGTGTAAACACCTTGGCAGAAGTGTAACTTATCGGCTTGTCAATGTCGGCCTTCACGAAAAACATCATGTGATCCCTAAGTGTTGAACCTACGGGCAGGTCAGCTACAACGGGAATCTGAAACAGAACCAAAACAGAGGACCTGGTGAAGTGCCGTGCTCTTTATTCAATCTTCCACGGTATTCCGGGGGAGGGGGCTATAGGTGTGTAACCTCCGGAGGTCCGTAATGTTGCTCTTTGTTCATTAATTAGTCCCCCGCGGTACTTCCGGAGGGGATTATAGGTTTGCAACTTCGTCCAGAAGTCCGTAACATTGACAAATGTTTTATGCGAGTTCCAATAGGAAGGCAGAACTGTCGGTTACTAAAATAGAGTCTCGTATCCAACTATATACAGAGTAATGGCCCTTTGTTACTGATGTTTGTCTGGACATAGAAGAGGAATATAAATTTCTCGCAATACTTTGTCTTTAGTAAGTAGAATGGCTTGCATGGTATGGTAAAGTGTTACTTTCCGGGAAATAATCAATATCAGTTTTTCATTGGTCTAAACGAATACTCACCCCTAACTCAGTAAGGTGGTCTTTCGGCCCTACCCCAGACAGCAGTAGTAACTGTGCCGACCCAACTGTCCCCGCGGTTAAGATCACCTCCCGTTTAGCTGCCGCGTGTTTCTTCCTTCCCTGCTGTATAAACTCCACACCTACAGCCCGCTTGTTTTCGATCACAACCTGTAAATTACAGAAAGTTACAGGAATAATTAGGAACGCTTGTAAGGCAACCTAATCATTGCACATCTTTTACACTATTCCAGGCTCTTTGACTCCCCGCTAAGGGTTCTCCTACATTGAACGGAGGAGGGTCAACGGCACAAGTTTGTAGTAGGACGAGGAATAGTGATAAAGAAAGTGCCGTCGCTGGGGCTCGAACCCGCAACCCTTGGCTCTCCAGTCCGATGCGCTACTGCTGAGCTGAAGGGAAATGCTCTATAGCGGGCGCTTGTAAGGCAACCTAACCAATATACATCTTTTACACCATGTTAATAACCTAAATATCAACAGTCAACCCTGATTGAATCTTTCGGGCTTCATCAGGGCTTTGAATGTCCTCACCATTTTGAATGGTGAGGAAAATAGAGGTTTCTTTAAACGAGTGATGGTTTGGTTATCATATTTATCTAGCCTGAGTTAGTTAATTTTCAAATTTTCTAAAGACACGAGGTTTACCGAGTGTCTTTCAAATCTTAAAATCAACTAACGAAAATGAGATAAGCATATCATAATTAACCATCACGAGTTTGGGGACCCTTTTCTCCCATAATATTCAGATATCCTGTATTTACATGTACCCTGTCCCAAAAGGTGATTATGTCACGCAACACAAGGAAATAATCAATCTCTACCAGAGTTGTCGGTCCTTGCAGTGAATGCAAAGAACGACAACCCTGGATAGAGATTGGGAACTTAGATATTGAAGGTGTTTTACCCACCTTTTACAGAGCGCGTTATTTTCTATCAAGTTACAAATTAATAATAACAAAAACACTGATCGTTCTGTATAAAATTCATGAATTTTTGAAATCTCTACCCGATGCAAATTGAAATTGAAAAAAAAGGAATATCTTAATGAAGTTTCACAGGCAACTAAACACTATATTGCAGTCATTTATATAATGAATTGCTAAACTTTTCGTTTGTTTGTTTGTTTTTATCCTTTTATAATAAACCCAGTGAAATTAAAAATAAAATCTATTTTCCCACGATTTGTCAATTTCAAGTTTTGTTGTTGAATAAATAAAATTATAAAATAGTTTCATTGAAATATACTTTTTTAGCCAATTGATAACAAAGTTACATCGGTATATATTTGTATTCGTTTGTCATTAAAGCTGCACTTCAAAACCTTCCTTCTGGAGTTACTATATTCAATTACTTAGGAAGTCTGTATTACGCACGAAACGATTCAATGTATTATATGTTTTGGAAGTAGAAAAAAACCCATAAACATGTGTGTTCTTTATACAAAACAAAAGTCTTGAACACCGTACTTTAGTTACATGAGACTCGATAGCCACATGCAAATTATCCCTCCCAAGAACCGGATGTAGAAATCCCCTAGCGGCGGTACACCTTTGTCCTTCTCCAATAATGGCCTGCACCCGACAGAAGCCATCTTGGATACCGTCATTTCCGTTACAGTCGTGAACTTTGAACCCGATCTCCTTTGCGGCCTCAAAATAGACATCGGCAATCTCAGATTTGGTGGTATCCGATATGGCGATGGGCCCTCCACGGGAATGATACTCTATAAAGAGGGAGAAAGAAAAATGAATAATATCAAAATTATCTCCTTTAGAAATTAAATGTCCGTTTTCATTCTTGCATGAAAGAAATAGAGTAAGAATTCATCTTGTTAGACAACAGAATGGCCCTTTTCCCTAAAATGCTATTGAGAGATTTTTAAACCACCCACTCTTTCATATGCTATAATTACGGAAAGGGCATACGGACCACTTTTTACGTGCATTATTCGTAAATAGTAAGGGTTACAAGCATTCGGAACATTTCGCCCAATTACCGAATCGGCTGAGGTGTTCCTTATGGGTTACAAAATTTAAACAAAAGTTTCCCAATCTGCTTCATTTCAAACTGGCCCAATGACAACAGCGTTAACTCAAATAAGACGCTGATAACATCCTGTTCATAAGCTAGTTTACCCCCCCCCCCCCGGGTTAATTCACCTTCATCAAATCCATCTGTTTCGCGCATGTCCTCCGTTTTAAGGAAGTACGGCAAAATTTCGTCATAGCTCCATCCTTCACAACCATTGGCTGCCCAGGTGTCGTAGTCATGGCGACTACCCCGGATGTAGACAAGTCCATTCAGAAGTGTGGACCCTCCTAATCCTTTCCCTTGTGGCCAAATACCAACCTTGGTTCAACAGATACACGATCTATATCTATATGCAAATATGCGGTTATAATGGACCTGGATAGGTGATATTGACTTCGTCTCGGTTGATATCTTTTTCTCAGGTTTATATAACCACACATTCACCTCACCAAAAATCCATAACGGATACATATATTAAACTTTTTTTACGATGTCAATGTTGTACAGATATGCACGGGTACAATAATTACACGAAAGCAAATGCAACTTGTAAATTTTAACTCACACCTAGGTTTGAACTTTTCTACTTGGCAGTCTGCCATCACTATTGTTTTTAAGTTTTCCAAATTGTGCCTGATGCTATTATGCGGGGTTTTTTTCCCAAAAAATATATTTTTGATCAGTGTTATAATTTTTTAGGATAGGAAATCATACATTGCCGTTCCGTGGCTCTTTCTAGGGGAGCCTCTAGAAAGACTACTTTTTAAGGAATAGCTCGCTATTGTCTAAAAATAGTTTTCCTTCATCTGCTAAATTATGTTATAATCAGCGGAAAATGTCCTTACAAATGACTCAGCTTAATATTGAGGGGTTACCTATTGGTATGTTTACGTACATTGTTTTTCATACCCCACTGCGCATGTTTCTGTGGTACCGTCCGATATATCCAATCAGCTTCTGTCATCTGGGCTTTGGGGGCATTGTACGGAACATCATATATCGGTTTATCAGATTCGGACTTCCCCGCCTCCAACACCAAAACGGTGACGTCAGCATCTTCTGACAGACGATTGGCTAACACCAAACCTGCTGCGCCCCCACCAACTGGTCGATAACAGAAATGTCGGGATTTAAACGGAACATAATTATTTGACTTCAGCAAGCAAACGATCAGCTCCAGTCCTCGAGACTGTTTTGATAGACAGTGACGTCTTTCATGTTGTGACATTTTCCACTTTGGTCCTATGTTAAATTACATTTTTAAAAAACACGACTTCGTTTTACGTCAAATTTTGATAAAAATTCACGCCTTTAGATAATTATCCACTGTTTCATCTGGTAATTATGGTGGCTTATATATGACATTTCGTCTTTATTTTTTCATTTCGGTTTAGCGTTATTCCGTCATTTCGCTTTGGCGGGTTTTCGTCTTTTCGTTATTCAGCTTTGGCGCTTTGGTGTTATTTCGTTATTCTGCTTTGACGGGTTTTCGTCTTTTCGTTATTTCGTTTTTTCTCTTGGCATTATTTCGCGGGCGACAAAGCGAAAAGACGAAACGTCATATATAAGCCAACGTAGGTAACATTTTTGTTTTTTTGTTTGTTTTTGTTTATTGTAACTTAAAATTTTAGATATTTAATTGTCATCCTTAGCTCTGTTATTGAGATATTACTTTTCATCCAGGCATAAATATATATATTTTGATGTCATTCCAAGAGACACGAAGTCAAACTTTGTCATAAAAATGCTCTGGCAAATACACTCATCATGGTTAAAATTCTATGAAACGGATAATATTATAAATATTACCAAAAGAAGCGCTAGATACAAGTTATTGAGCTGTATGTCAAAATGTCATCAATATTCGACTTAAAAACAAACTAGAGAACATTAAGTTACCAGAAGTAAATTAACATAGAATCCAATGGAAAAATGACGTAACATGAAAGACTTATAAATATTTAAAATTATTTACTTTGTTTTTTAATTAGTTTCAAAATTTCTAAAAGAAGATATCTGGGATTTTTAAGGCAGAATGATGACCGTCAGTTTATCTCGATACGCTAACAAGTATCACTTGTCGAACGGTCACTTTTACATACTATATACCGACATTGACAACTAGATTAGATAACTATGACAAGAGTGGCAATGAGAAGAGATATAGAGAGTCACATCTCGGCAGATTCCGTACCTAAATGAAGGGTACCGGAATCAGCCGAGGTAAGCCGAATGACCACAAGGCACTAGTTTACGGAAAGTACCGACGGTTCCCGATTGGCAGCGAGAGAGACAACTTTAAAAATATAAATGGAAACAACTCTTCAACGAAAGTCTCGCAAAAAACGTGAAAGTATATATATGAACAATGAACTTCACAACTTACCGATTATGTAATCATATGACTGGTTAAAACTCCGGACAAATCCGTCTGGTTTCGTCACCCGTAAGTAGTATGTTGTCGCTATGGCAACTGATATTGTCAATAATGTAGCCACCACCGTCTTCATGACTGATGATTTATTTGTTTAAGGTATCATAAAGTTTTTATTTCTTCATGAAAACAGATCATACGAAAAACCTGCAAAGATAGACAGAGATGGTTCAATAAACAGGGACATGAGAACCAGCCTCTATGTTATGTTTGAACACTATTTTAAGATAGTTATGATGTTCAGATATCGTTCAGTGCACAGGGACATGACATCTAGCCGATATGTTATGTGTGAACACTATTTTAAGATAGTTATGATGTTCAGATATCTTTCAGTGCACAGGGACATGAAATCTAGCCGATATGTTATGTGTGAACACTATTTTAAGATAGTTATGATGTTCAGATACCGTTCAATGCACAGGTACATGACAACTAGCCGATGTGTTATGTTTGAAAACTATTTTAAGACAGTTCAGGTGATGTTCAGATATCGTTCAGTGAACAGGCACATGAAAACTATTTCAAGACAGTTTTAGAGTTTAGGTGATCTGTGCACAGGGACATGAGATCCAGTCGCTGTTCGGTTAGGTTTGTTTGTACCAATCTTGAAGTGCAGGGAACGCTATTTTACTAAACGGTGGAAACTTGTTGGAGCCTGAAAATGGAATTTCTGGTTGATGTGCAAGAAAATATGCTTTGTGTTGTTTTCTTTAATATTAAAACCACGCGTCATGCGATGCTTGCATTTTGTGTTATCACATACATGACGTATAAAAACGCTTTGTAAATTAATGAGGTTGACGTCACCAGCAGACATAATGTGATTTAAACCCGTAGACGATATCACACATAATGAATTTGAACAGCAATAGTCGAAGCGATAAAATATCATTGCTAAATAAAACGGAAACAAATCTTCATACCTCTTTAAGGATGCCCATACCACTGCAAACAAAAATCTGTCTCTAAGTATTCGAAAATGGTTTATTTTCCCGGCAAGACTATAGTCTTTATAAATCATTTCCGGAAAACCAGGCCGTGCGGGACTTTTATGAAAAATATAAAGTTGAAATAATCAAGTTATAATCAGCCAAAGTGTTCTGACAAGCAAAACAATCTTCGGGGCTAGATCGAGATTCGAACCCTGGACATGTACTATCAACGGAGTACTAGTCCACCCTCGATACTCCAGGGGTTACGCTCCCCTTCGCTCTCGGGTCATGGGTCACGCTAACACTTCCACTAGCACTGTGCCTATTTTTCATTCTCATTATCTGCGAAGACATGTGCGCAAATATATGTTATGTAATAAGACACTTAAAAGCATTGCGATATGTGAAGGTTAGCATGTATACAAGTGTGAAGTGTAAACGGACACCATTTGTAACAGGAAAGGGAATAGCGGCTTCCACCGGGGATCGAACCCTCGATCTCCAGGTTCCTAGTCGGACGCTCTACCACTGAGTTATCGAGAAATTCCCTCTAGCTCGAAGCTAGAAGGCGACCTTAATCCTATGTACAATTGAACCCTGCCACATACCTTTGAAACATGTTAAGGTTATTGCATGGTTTTCAAGTAACAAGGGATTTATTACACCCGAGCGAAGCGAGGGTGTAATAAGTCCCGAGTGACGAGAAATCATGCAATAACTGGCTTACTGCATGCTTCCCAACTCGAACAAAACAGAAAAGTTGAGTAAAAAATGTTCACCTGGACAATCTTTTTACCTGCCCTACACTGCAGATAATTTACATGTACCTGTGTGAGTGAGTACTAAGCATAACCAGTTAAGATTATCAATAGCCCAGTCTGAGTGTATCCGTCATAATGGATACAAGTGTTTCTGGATTACTATCCAGGTCCAGTGTCAGGGAAGGTAAGGAGTGGCTGTTCAAAATATGGGAAACAATGTTGAATTTCTGACTACATTTTCAGTTTAATTTTCAAGATGTGGCAAAGGTACAGGATATTGAAACCATTGTCATAATACAATGTAAGGGTTTATCAATCCCTAAGGAATTCCAGTTCTTTCAATGAATGGTATATTTGAATGTGCAATTTTGTATCAAGGAACATCTACTTAAGATTATAAACTTTTCCAGGAAATGCTTATCCTCTCACGTGATAAGGAAATCTTTTTGTGTTTTTCAATCATGAAATTACCATTTTTAACTTCATTTTTCCCCCTTATTTTAAATGTGTCAACTAAGTTTAACCTTTCCACTGTATTGACTTCATCGTTACTCACTGATTGATTATCTCCCCTTTCTTACAGCATTTGTGGCCACAGTCCACTGGGCACACCCCCTTTCATGGTCATGTAATCATGATTGGCCATGAAAGGGGATTATGTGTGCAGTGGACTGTGGTAGCAAGTGATTTATTGCCCACACTTTTCAATTGTGAGAGGTTCGAAGTATGCAGTTAGTCTTTCTAAAACAACTCCAGTCACTTATGTGCCGTTTTTGTAAACGATGTTTGCAATATTTTACGAAGCGGAGCACAACTCACTTTGACCGATATACACGTCGACCTTGACCTTCACGAAATAAGGCTCGGACGACGGGATAAGCAACACAGGGACCTGCTAATTTGTTACAGCTATATTTGGACCTAAACTTAGGTGTTCAGAGAGATTTTACATGTTTAAGGGGGTTTGATTAGAGTTTCGGTAAAAAAGGCCACCCCCAATGATCATAATATGATTTTTTACCAAAAGTTGATCTAAACCCCCTAAACAGGTGAGATTACTCCGAACACTTTAGTTTAGGTCCAATTATAGCTGTAACAATTCTCAGGTCCCTGCATCCGCAATACTCTAGGGGTTACGCTCACTTACGCTCTCTGCACCCCTGGAATATGTCATAGCAAAATTGGAAGCATGTCAATTTTACCGTTACGCGACCGCGATATTCTTTTGATGTACATAAAAGGATCTAACACGTTTTCTTGTCTAATCCCCCAAGGTGGCGCACACTGAACCTTCAATTTTGCTAGGACATATTCCAGGGGTGCAGAGAGCGAAAGTGAGCGTAACCCCTGAACATTGAGGATGAGGTCCCTGTAGTACAGATAATGCATTCATCAAATGACCACCCAGGAGGATACTGTTTGGCGTCGAACCCATTGCCCCTAAATTTTGGGATGTCGTTATTGGACAATATATGCATACATTCTTGTTTAGTTTTGCAAACGCTATGTCAGTCACAAATAAGTTGTTGCTACACGATGTCAAGATATTTTCAGCACCACCGGATAACTTAGTGCCGTACCGATCGGGGCATCCGGTGTTTTATATTGGTATTAAATATATTTATCAAATAACTGATACATTTTACTATATCATAAGGCCATGTCATAAACCTAAAGGTGCTGCGATTGGTCAAAACCGTTGGGAACATATTCCTACGCCACTACAGGTACTGCTTTAATCTTCTATACCACAAGATACATTTACTGCTATTTCAAATTATTTTGAAATGTTTATTTTGTCATTATAATCATTTTCATTGTATTAAAAACTGTTCATTATAAAAAAACAGTCTGGAACTACTTTTCACTGCGCGAGACGACAAAACTATGATAAGAGTACTTTGGTTTTTATCCAAATAGAGCCAGCTGATATATATGATAGTATGTGTACTGGGGTACAGCCACGGGTACTATAGCCTCGTCTGTCAATACACATCCTCGATATCCAGGGGTTACGCTCAGTTTCGCTCTCTGCACCCATGGATATCGAGGATGGTCAATACATAGCTAATTTATATCATCAGCGTATTTGTGATTTTCTTATTATGTACAGTAGTATTAATACTCTAATTAAATGATGTCAACATGTCAATAAACCAAATTCTTAAAAATTCACGAATGTGCTGTCTTTATGGTGTTAAGCATTCAAATACTTACGTCGGTCCAACGGCTCATAGTACGTACGTTGTTTAGCTTTCAGTACAAATTGCTAGATTGACAGGTCTTCAAGATAAGTACAAGAAATATGCGCTATATGTGCGCTTATCGCGATAGGTGTTTGCATCACGATAAACGGAATGCGGCCTAGGTCCGGTCCCAGAGTTGTACGTTCGTTCATGAACTATCTGGGTAAGGTCGGACCTAATAATCTGATGCTGCTTTCAGGCGAGCCTTGATAAAGACTTGCAAGGCCTGCATAAACATTTGCAGGTCCGTCAACCGGATTGAACAGGATACGCCCCGTGAAAGGGGCCCTAATCATATTATCATTACGATCCTTATATTTGACGTAACTCATGTGTCTGGCCCCTGTGAATAAGACCAACGAAATTGCATAGCACATTGATAAAACGTCTTGCCTGTCCGATATCCCCGACACATGAGTCGAAAGGTAATTTGCTCATATATCAATACGATGACGACTGGATTAAAGTATGATATTTCACAGGGACCTGAAAATTTGTTACAGCTATATTTGGACCTTAACATAAGGTGCTCAAAGCAATTTTACATGTTTTAGAGGTTAAGATCGACTCTCGATAAAAAATGCTATAAGGGATGGCATTTTTACCGAATGTTGATCTTAACCTCTAAAACATGTAAAATTACTATGAAAACCGTAGTTTATAGGTCCAAAATATAGCTATATCAATTCCTCAGGTCCCTGTGATGTGTTCATAATTAGCTTTCGGTGGGAAAGGTCACTTTCAAATCGGGATAAAATCACAGTTTACAAGTTATGATAACAAATGCTATTATTAGTGGATGAGACAAGAAGACTAGTTTGGTTCCTTTCGTGTACACCAAAAGTACTTGACAGACGTTTGAAGTCGGCTGTCACTCTTCTGTAATCTTCAAAGGACAGGTATCTGCCTAGCTGCTATAACATACGTAGCTTTTGACGAGATTTTTTTTTATATATTGCGTCGTCAGAGTATCAGCCTAGTAGTTGGTCAGGTTTTTTTTGTACCTGATATCAATAAAATAACTATTTTTGTGCCTTCAATTTTGCTAGGACATATTCCAGGGTTGCATATAGAGCGCAAGAGAACGTAGCCCTGGGCAGAGACATATATATTATATGCAATATAATACGTCTCTGCCCTAGGGTATGGAGAATGGTGTTGACCCTGTGTTAGCTGTGGAGCTGGGCTGTAACCCCTGGGGTATGGAGGATGGAGTTGACCCTGTAGTTAGCTGTGTAGCTGGACTGTAATCCCTGGGGTATGGAGGATGGTGTTGACCCTGTAGGTAGGTGTGTAGCTGGACTGTAACCCCTGGGGCATGGAGGATGGTGTTGACCCTGTGTTAGCTGTTTAGCTGGGCTGTAACCCCTGGGTATGGGGGATGGTGTTAACCCTGTAGTAAGGTGTGTAGCTGGACTGTAACCCCTGGGGTATGGAGAATAGTGTTGACCCTGTGTTAGCTGTGTAGCTGTACTGTAACCCCTGGGGTATGGGGGACGATGTTCACCCTGTAGTTTGGCGCGTAGCTGGACTATAAACACTGTGCATGTAAAATTAAAGTTTCTGACCTAGACCTGCATCAAGCTTCCCACTCTCCTTGTCCTGGGGGAAATGAATCTAGAAGCTTTGTGATACTATCTGGTGGAGAGTTGGAAAGCGCTATTGGGGCGTTTACTTTATTAAAAAATATCAGACAGACAGAGAGACAGACTGTACACAACTTCAACAGGGCACCCGTATCTCCCATGTAGGACCCTGAATAGTACCCATATATAAGGTATATACTTGTTTTTACGTTTAAGTAATAAAACATAGTCAAATTGTATACAGTGTTTTACTCATTTATTCCTGCTACACAAAGTATTGATGACAAATATGTTGCATCATCTTAATACATAAAATACATTGCATCAAATTCAATACGATACAATGTATCAATTACTAACATTGTATTATACCTAACAATGTATCAATACCACTGTTGTATCTACACCATACATTGTATCAATATCACTATTGTATCTACACCATACATTGTATCAATACCACTATTGTATCTACACCATACATTGTATCAATACCACTATTGTATATACACCATACATTGTATCAATACCACTGTTGTATCTACACCATACATTGGATCTACACCATACATTGTATAAACACCTAACAATGTATCAATACCACTGTTGTAACTACACCATACATTGTATAAATACCATACAATGTATAAACACCTAACAAGGTATCAATACCACTGTTGTATCTACACCATACATTGTATCTACACCATACATTGTATCAATGACATACAATGTTTAATCACATAACAATGTATCAGCAACATGTATTGTATTATTACCATACATTGTATCAATGTTACAATGTATCAATACCTCATATTGTATCAATCAACATTCATTTGATCTATCCCACACAATGTATCAAAACCTTACATTGTATCAACACCATACATTGTATATATACTACACATTGTACGTGAGCTACACATTGTATAATACCAAAATTGTATCATTATCAGTACCATGCAACATATCTATACCATACATTGTATTTTCACAATACATTGTATAATCACTAAACATTGCATTATAACACACATTGCATCAAAACCATACATTGTAAAAATACTATACATTGCATAAATACTATACATTGTAAAAATACTATACATTGTATGTATTTCACACATTGTAGTATACCTTACATTGTATCAATATTGTACCAGTATTAAATAATGTATTTACACCACATATTGTATATATACCATACATATTGTATAAACACTATACATTGTATTACACTTTACATAGTATCAATACCACACATTGTATCTTTACTATACATTGTATCTATACCACAAAACATACATTGGCCCAGTTTGTGGTGGATATTTGCCAATCAATTTTATTGTAGAACATGTACAAAAACGATCTGTGAGGTTTAAATCTCAATCGTCTTGATACAAATTTGTTATGAACTGCTCGCTCATTACCCATCAAGTTTTTTACTCATAAACTTATTTCTTAATGTATTTTGTTGACTGGAGAAGACAAGAATGCTTAAAAAGGGGAGGGGTGATAATTCCATTGAATTCATTGCAAATCACAGAGAAATTCGCAACATCTCTGACACGATTAGAGTGACCGTCAAGCTTTATATCCGTCGGATACTGTGTACTCATTTAATTTCGCGGAGGCTGAAGTTTTATCGAGTGTAACCATCAAACAACCACTTTCCCCATTACAATCTGATCTTAAGTTCATGGTCCAATCCCAACCAGAAATGGCTCCAATGGTATTTACTGTACAAATGTTTTGTCCAAGCCCATTGAAAATATGAGACTGTGTTAATACTGTTTCTTTTTTCCGGCAGTAAACAGTCTTAATTCTCCATGCATTCGTAGATGTTCAAGTTTGTTACAATTTATCGTAATAATATTCACTTGGTTTTTCAATTTCACGTAATATCTGATGACCAGGAATATACCGGTAGCGGAGGCACGGTAGTCTAGTGGTACGACGCCTGGCTCGTAACCGAAGGGTGGCGGGTTCGAGATACACCATGGCACTGTGTAGTATCTTTGAACAAGATACTTTATTCCGCTTGTTCCAGTCTACTCAGCTGTAAATAAGTATGTGGTTGCACAGTGCTGGAATTGTTGAATGGTAGCTGTGAGCGCCAAAATGGCAGCACCGGCTGTATGCTCCCCAGGGAGTCGAGAAATTTATTGGCTGGTTGTAAATGCCCTATAACCATGGATAATAATTTGTGAACCGCTTTGAGACGACCTATGAACTAGGTTGTAAATATAAGAACCTCAAATTATCATAAATATTATTAATAAAACGGAAAATTAAACCCCCTGAAAACGATACAAAATATACAGCAGAGAAATAGATCTCATAATCAGAAGATAACCCTCCTTAGGATATTAACAACACTTAAAATATACCAATTTAAGTTGAAGGGTAACAACAAGATGAATTGTAAATATTATTACAAATGTCACTACTGTAAAGTATTTGTGTTAAGACTTTTTCAAAAGAAGTATATTTCATAGAAATCACATCACACACCTATTTCTAATAAAGGTATGGTAACGGTAGTTTTGTTTTCAGAGATGGTTTATCAAAGCTATAGTCATACTGGATAAAATAGCTTCCAATAATTAATTACAGTTTTTGGCAGTGGTACGGAGGTCCTTAAGAAAACTTCAGGCCAATCAAAGCTTGTCTGGACATACCTTATCCTTTCAGTGATCTTTGTAGAATATTTTTCAGGTGAGTCCCGATCGATGAGCACGTTTGTCAAGTTTCATTAGTCCCATTATTAAGATACATAATGAGTTCTTAAAAAGTTGGTGAATCCAACAAAAAATGGCAAGGGTATTAACCCTTTCACCAATATGTAGACCATGATCGATGGACTCATCTAAATAAATGTATGGAAGAGTCTAATCTTCAACAGCATTCTAAAATCCAGCAGACGCACGTTGGACAATATACAGTTACAACAGGAAATAACTGCACGAGTTTACTCCGAGCCAAGGGAATGGTGGATTTTAAGTGACCAGGAACTGCTTGATACGGTATACTGTGGCGGTACACACCATTATCCAACAAGCTATACCTAGGCCTCCTGAAATGTAAGAATAAAAAAAAAAAAACCAACTTTTATTTTCAACTTGGTGCAAGATTTCATTTTATGCTACAAACTTAATTAATCCAAAGCCAAACTGAATCTTCGAAATCCAAGCATTTCAGTCTCGAAATACATATCTTCTCTAAACCCTTACAATATGTCAAAACAAAATCAAAGGCTCTTTACATTATCCCTCACATTTGACACAAGTGGACACATCACAGGAATTTTGTGGCAGCCTAATGGGGAAATTGACAGATTTTTCTTCAAGTGGGTTGTAGCTCTTGTGTAATCTTTAACCCTTTCTCCACTAGAGACCATAATGGACTTATCCGGATCAATGCATGGTAGGGTTCATTAACTCATTCACCCCTGAAGATACATTTGTACTATTCCAATTCAATATATCACAGTTTTTCAATGTGAATATCATTTTCAATATCTAGATACTGCAACATAATTAAGTTGCAGTGAGTAAAAATTTAAAATCAAGTTGGTTTGAGTACAGAATTCCAACTTAAGAATGTCATTTATGAGGATGCAGGTTTCATGAATATGACCCAATGATTTTTTCCCCAAAAAAATTCTCTAAAGTATCCCAAAAGTGGAACATATTACGCCTGTCATACATTGAATGAGCAGTTGTCTGTATGGTTGTACATAAAGGGCCATAACTCCATAAATAACAGTTGGACAATGGTGGTTATCGAACTTGTCCGAGCTATCCAAGCAATGAATCTCCTATGAAGTTTGAAGTTAATCCGTAGAACACTTGTATTGATATCGAGCGGACACTGTTTCGGCAATGAAGTTTGAAGTTAATATGTTGAAAACTTTCTGGAAATTGAATAAAGGGCCATAACTGCGTCAATTACAGTCAGATAATTGCGATTATCGTACTTGTTCCAGCTATCATGGTAATGAACCTTCCTATGAAGTTGATATAATGGCGATGAACCTTCCAATGAAGTTTAAAGTTAATCCATTGAAAACTACTCCAAGATATCGACCGAACACCGTTTGCGCCCACCATCCCGTGTGACAACATTATACATCCTGTCATTCGATGGGTATATAAAAAGGAGTATGTAATGCGACTTAAACTTTCGGCACAATCTAACTCAAAAACCTGCAGAATTCTTCATAAACTCATGTGAAATTACAAGTTCCTGGATTTTTCCACTCCGACATGGAAGCAAATCTCACACGATGGTGTAAAATGACTTTGAGCTTTGGCTAAGAAGCCTCTCCATGACAATTCAAGGAGAATATTCTACTTTGCACCGTTAAGTTGTGATATGGCTCTACTGTGATTTAACAATTTAAGAACAGGAATATGAAACAGTTTTTTTTCTCATACATACCTGGTATACCCGTAGGAAGAGCAACAAACTTTTCTAAAGGGTAGAACCATTCCGATGGAAACATGAGTAACGGCTCATTACGGTATCGGAAAACTAATGCTAGCATGGTAAATGCCTGTGAAAAAAAACAACAACATGCACATCATAAATAACTGACATACAAGTTAGAAACAAGTATGTTTGATCAAAATTTTATATACATGTACCAGTAAATCAAGCATATGTTGCGCCAATATCTCTCAGAATTTTTGGAATTTCATATTATAAAGGTATGGAATTATTAAATATTAAACTTTTATCAGACTTAAGTACAGAAAGTAAATAAACTTCAATTCCTTTATTTGTCCCGCAAGTGATTTTTTTCATAAATGTTAAAATTTGTGATGAATTTAGCATACCAGTCCTATGCCACCTGGCTAATATCTCTCTATGTGTATGAGTAAATATAGTTAGTGGTTATGATATATGTAATATTCAAAATTCAATATTTGATGATCTTCATTATCTACAATAATGTGTATATAAACAGGGTGTATGTATATATATACAAAGGGTTAATATTAGACACTAACTATTTTTGCTCAGTAATTCAAATGACAAGTAGAATAGATTATTTGCCAGTTCTTTGTCTATGTAACTAGTCCAAGATTTCCTTAAGGAAACATCTCAAGCATGAAACATAATGAGTTTAAAATGACAGTAGGAAATGAAATACTGCCATACATATATAAACAAAAGGTGCATATATATATATACTTACTTGTATGACATATATTCCAATTCGTACAAGCAAAGACAGTAGTGAACTCTTCTGCATCCTTGCAGAATCTGCAATACGTAAAAATAGGTTTTTCCAATAATTTTATAATTCATTTGAATTAATCAGTGTTCTCTAAAACCTATTTGGGGAATATTAATGGGACGATTAAGGCAATAGAAAAGGGCAAAACGTATCTTGTGAATCCAGATTGCTTTTTATGTACATGTAAAATTTTAATTGACAAGAAACCATTTGTTTACCATATTTGTTTTAAAAATTTAAATTATTTGCATCAGAAATAGTAGAAAATTCAAATCTTCTTTTAAAATGGGACCATTTGTACAAACTTTGGGCTTTTAGCCCCAACCTGTGCAAAAAAAAAATATGATTAAAATGACATAAATTTTCAGTAAAACTATAATTTCTCATTATCAATTACTAAAATAATTGGTGTGAAATGAGTTATTGAACTGTTGAAGGGATACATTATGCTGTATATATATATGGAAATGATAACTACTCTAATCTTATCAGAAATATTATATTCTTGTGAAAAAACAAATACAATATATAACTGTTGATTTCTACATTTTACTTTTTAGTTGTTCCATTTTCATGTAATTTCCACAAATTTCTCACCAATGTGAAATAGATAACCTCTGTCACACACATAAGGAATCTGTATACAATTACATATAGTGTATATATATTTATAAATACATGTACTTGAAAATAAATTGTCAGTTTCTTCTGACATGAAACACTATACATCTCTAGTTTATTCATGTCTTTACATGTGATGTAGCTTATAGTTTACAAGTTATAGATCTCCAAAAGAGAAATTTAATATTCTAACAATTAGTAAAGTCAGTATTACTTGATTCTTTGACCTGCGCCATAATTTTATCGATTCGGCGTTGAATTTTGGCATATCTAGCAAATTCATCAGTCATACTGATAATGTCCTGCTCAGCCTTCAACTCTCTAACTTGTGACCGCAAATTTAATTCTTCATTTGAGACGTGCAAGAAAAATCTGCTCAACTGCAAGGAAAAGTGGAAAACAATAATTACACAAGTATTAATTAAAGCAGCAATTCATTCATAATTATGTATCAAATTCAACATTTCAATACTGTCCATTCAAATGTGACAGGAGAAAGAAAAATGCCTGGCCAGACCGGTGTTAGAGCCTGCATGGGACCTTCAGAACTCTAGATGGATGCTCTACCAATAGAGCTATACCTGGTCACTGACGATCAACCCAGTTCAGTTCTGCTACATTGTCACATGCACATATATTAAGATGGAAAAATGCACTGCCATACTGGGATTGGAGCCCGGGACCCTCTAAACTCTAGACAGACGAGCTAGCAATTGTGCTATCTATTCACAAAGGATCGACCCAGTCCAGTTCAACATAAATATTTTAAAACAGCTAGCCTGATCACTGCAGGGGCATGCAACTACTTATAATATTGATCTTCTTAGATTTCCAGTCGCTGGATGCGTATCCTACTGAAAGTCTAACAAGATCAATATTATTAGTAGTTGCTTGCCCCTGTGGCCTGAAATTTAACACCCATTCTTGTCTGTTCTTGAACATATGTCCCCGATGCATCGGGTTTAAGATACAATCTAGATCTACACACCCATACAACCACATCTCTCACTGTTCTGTCGGTACCGTTCTGTCAGTAAGGTGACCATTACACAGTGTTGACATAATACCAGTTAAAGGAAGTTAAATTATATATCTATAAATTATCTTAATGTTTTTGCTCTATAAACAGAATGTACTGGATCTGATGCTGTTCACCGAAACAGACAATGTAAGTTTAAAACAGGTGCTGGTCGTCCTTTGATGCAAAATAAAATGGCGATCTTACTCTTTTAGTTATGTCTCCTGAATACGTTGGCAGCATAGAAAATAAAAGCACAAGCAGGAATATAAATATTAAGAAAATCATCGTGTGGTTAAAATCAGACTCTGAGAAAAATTACACGTCGCTGTCAATTCTTATCTTTTCTACAGTATTGATTCCCCCTTCATCAAAGCGCACCACAGACCCGGAGCTGAAGAAATCAAAACAACAAACTCCCGCGAAATTTTGCCGAACACATGTGATTGAATCAAGGTAGAAAGTTGTTCGACTATGGAGACAGGTTCGTCGGTGTCGAAGGTAAAAATACGTAACGGATTAGAAAAGATGACATAAATGTTTACTCTATGATTGCTAAATTTGAGAGACTCGACAGAAAAAAGCACATTGACATTGTGTTTTTTGACAAATGTCACGTTCTAGTAATTTGAATAAAATAAGTTGCTACGGCTTTTTTGCCTTTCTAAAGGTCTAGGGTTAATGGATTAATTTCAAAATAGGAATACGGATTTCGATGTATTGCATGAACCTTTCAAATGTATGGAATTGTACTTAAAATTATCTTAAATTGGTTCTTTAACATATGTATTGTAAGGGAAATAACTCGTGGTATTTGGAGGTCCAGATTCAGATTCAGGTGCATATGCATGCAGGTCCAGATAATATTCTATACTGACTTCGTATGTTTTGTGCATCGCTGCGTTCATATTGTATTAAGGTTCAACAAGCCCCCACCCCTACGAAGATGAAATGTGTGTACCAAAGAGTAATAGTGTTGATTTACATAATGTTAAGAACCTGTATTATATAAATTAATTAAAAAGGTGGTTGATATTATTGATAATAACATTATTTATGATTATTTTTGCTCTGTAATTGTTAGTTCATAAATTAACAATTATCTGTACATTGTAGTATATTTCAGCAGGTCCAGTACACTCGACCGATTGAACTTTTTAATATAGCTATAAAGACCTATATATATATTCACCTATACATTATAGCTGTATTGAGCTATATTTTTGTCAGATTTCAATCTTCATTAAATTAAATCAAAGTCGCATAAAACAATAAGGTTTATGGTAATGTTGACTACAAAAAGCATACAGTTAGATGTTTATTTTCATTTTTTATAAATGTAAAATTTCCGATTTTTTTACATCATTATTTTTTTAAAAAGAATTACCTATATTTAATGTCTTTTGTTATCAACCTAATAATACAATCTTCTTTTAATAGCGACTTTGTTTTGTTTTCCTTAAAAAGGAAAATCACATAAAAATAGCTCAAAAGACCTAATTCAGATAGGTCAATAGAGCTATTATCTTTTTATAGGTCGTTACAGCTATATAGCTCAATCGGCAGAGTGTACTGGACCTGTTCAGTTACACATGAGTTAGTAGTTTAAATTTGATATTGGTATATACTACAATTATAGTCCTGCTAATTTTAATTTATTCAAGGCACCAACATATCTCTATATTTGTTAGCTGTCCTGAGAATTATTATATACTCAAGAATAAATTGCTTAATGTGTCAATCTATTTGTTTAACTCATTCACCCCTGAGGACACATTTGAACTCTTCCAATTCAAAGGTTGGAATAGCTCACTATGAAATTAATTTCAGGGGTGAGTGAGTTAAAATATTTAATTGCATTGGGTATTCATTTTCCTTTCAGGGAGTCTTTGCATACAAGGGAAAGAAGAAGTCGGTGAATCCAGGTAACACTAACAGCTATATATATGGTGTACCTACAAGGAATGTTAAAGGAATAGTATATCAGGGTTCAAACTTAATCATAGATCATATGTACAATAACCATAAAAAACACTGTGGGTCTATGGGAATCATTTCAATTTACTTCAAAGACAGTGTTTTCTCCAGAATGGATTCCGATCGTGTACAACCCTCCTTAATAAATGCTAATTTTCTATTTTCCGCCTATATCTCGCAACCATTGCCCCCCACCCCTCCCTCTTTTTTTAGACCTGGAGAAAACACTGAATTAGACCAAGTTGTCTATAAAGTAATTTCCTACAATGTATTTAATTTTCTGGTATTTATAATTTATATTGTTGAAAAATGTTTATTGTAGGCAAAAAATATTAGGGCAGGTACTGGGTAACAGGAAACCAACATTTTGTTTGTTTGGGCAAAATGGCCTTAGGAAAATGTCTATTTAAAAGAATGATTTTTTTTTTTACTTCATGCATTTGTTCTGCATACATTACAGAAAAATATTTCCCAAAAAGTGAGACTGTCAACACTTGGAAGAGAAGACTTGAAACTTACCAAAGTTTATGGGAAAGTGTTGATACAGAGATACAGGTAACATATCACATTAAAACTCTTCTTGAATCTCCTGATTTCATCCGACAGAAACTGACTTACCTTCATTCCCCTTCAGGTAGGGGATCGAAAAAAGAATGTATCGTAAAAGGCGACTTATGTGGGAATCTCTTGCAGAATTAGGGATTTGCTTTTTTACACGAAAGCAACAACAATAATCCTGATGCACCCACTGCAATATTTGGGTTCGTGATATTTTTCTCTATCTCTAACTGCCTTTTATTTCCTAGCCCCTTGCTTGGCAACACCTCACTTTTAATATTGAACGTTTACCCAGGTGAGGTAAGCAATGGGTTCTGTCCCCATGCCGGGACATACTGAAGTCCTTAAAAATGGTAGTTGTTATTTCCTGCTTAACATTCAGCATTAAGGGTAATGGCACCAACTGGTTCACCCCGGCCCGTTGTCAGTATAATGTGACCGAGCGCGTGCGGAAAGCTGTGCCGGGAACCTTCGCCATACTATTTTAGTGAGATAGCACTATCAAATCTGTGCTATCACAAGGAGGCAAGTACACCAACATACCTTGTCTCCGGCACAGATACACGCAAGCACGAATACCCTACACACATGGAGGCACGTCCTTATAATTAATTAATGACCTTAGCTGTTAGACGTTAAACCCTATACAACCAAACCAAACTGTTACATTATACCAAGAGGAGACTAAAGAAATGCACATCGTACATCATTTTCCATAGATCTTTTAACTAAGTCATTGACCCCTGAAGACCCACTTGAACTTTTCCAATTCAAAAGTTGGAATAGTTCATTATGAAATTCCAGGGGTGAACGAGTTAATTTGGTTAAAGAACTGTCAAAGGTGACTGTGTAATTCCACAATGGATACTGCTTAAAACTGAAACAACACATTTACACGAAAGGTCGGGCATTTCAATTGACCCTAATTAACATTCAGCAATTTTAAAAGTCAAATCGCCTTTTTCTCTGAATTTCACATCAGATAGATATACTGTATATCCTTTCAAACCCGAAAGTCGAAGCTCATTTGGGAGTCAAAAACCTACAGTCAAGGGTCTTCTAAAAGCCCATCTGAAAAGCTGGTCATCTGAAATAAAAATAAAACTGTATAATTTAATCTTGCTTGTAACAAGCATTTTCATTGGCTTAACAACTTATGTTATCAGCCCATAGCGTAAAAAAAAGACGTCTCCGTTTGTAACGTCGCTTCTGATTGGCTGATACAGCAGCACAATAATTTCTAAGAGAAAAGAGTCCATCAATAAAAGTGGATTTCCACAGGGATTGTGTAAAGTAGGTTAAATTATAAGGATTAACTTGACTATATTTTTCATGTTATGGAGCTATAACACAAAAAACCGTAGTGTACTCTCATCATAAACTGCTTCACGGTTTATTTAGAGTACACTCCGTTTTTTATGTTATATCTCCATAACATGAAAAATATATTCAAGTTAATCCTTAAATAAAATCACAGTGCAGTTGGACAGGGGTCCTTAAGTCGCCCATACTTTTGGCTATATACTGTAGTGAAAAAAAGGTTAATTACAAACCAGAAAGGATTTTTAGCTCACCTGGTCCGAAGGACCAAGGTGAGCTTATGCCATACCGTGGCGTCCGTCGTACGTCCGTCCGTATGTCAACAATTTCTTTAAACGACTTCTTCTTAACCACTGGTTGGAATTAAACTAAATTTGACTGGAAGCATCCCTAGGTGGTGGGGATTCAAAATTGTACAAACTGTGGGGCTGACCCCCCAGGGGACTGAGGGGCGGGGTCAAAAGGGGTCAATTTGGCAATATTGCTACAAACGACTTCTTCTGTAGAACTGTGCACTGGATATCAATCATATTTGATCAAAAGCATTCCTGGGAGGCAGGGATTTAAAATTGTACAAATGGTGTGGCTGACCCCCCAGGGGGCTGAGGGGCAGGGCCAAAAAGGGTATTTGGCTATACTGCTTTAAG